CCCACACGCCACGGGGACTGGCCGTTTGGGGGGACACCCCATGGCAGAGCTGGAATGGCCACGATGGGGGATCCCAACCCTTGCATTGCCTTTGGCAAGGAGAGCATGTCCCCAAAAGGGCCAGGCTGCTGGCTGGGGCAGCAGGGAGGTGGCTGGATAGGACTGCCCAAGCACCTCCTTCAGGGCTGCTCCAGGGGCCTCCTGTGGGGAGGGGTGCACAGCCACAAGGATATGTGGGAGGGGCTGGTCCCCATGTGGAGTGATCAGGGCATGAAGCCACCTCAGCAATCACTTTTCCTGCAGCTCTGCCTTCCAGGGGTATGCACAGGCAGATCCCCCTCCCTAGAGATGGAGGATGGCTGCTGCCTTTGTTACAGGGTAAGTAATGGAGTGGAAGATGCTTGGATAAGGTGAGATGTTGGCAGTCAGAAACAGAACCAGGAGTGAGGGAGCCTCTGCTCTGCCCTTCTTCTGGGGTGGGGAGCTAAGGGGTGCCCTGGTGTCAGGCAGCTCCCTGACAGCCTCCAGAGCCCAGTGCCCTGACAAACACTGCTTAGTGTGTGCCAGGCCAGCACAGCCAGTCCCACAATGATGGAGTTATGTGGACAGAGCAGGTCCACCAGTGTTGGAGAGGGTCTGAGAGGAAAAGGAAGGACACAGACCGCTCATGTTCATAGGCAGTGTCTCCAAAGAGCATGTCTGGGGTCCTTGTGCAGCCCATCTCCTGTCCCTCGAGAGATCACACCACTATCTGCTTTAGGTCCCAGCATATTCCCTTGCTTGAGTGCTCAGAGATGCTGCAGCAGAGCTGGCCTGGACACCCCCCAGTACCTGTGTCCCCCGCTCCAGAGGCAGCCACTGCACACAGCGGAGTCCCAGAAACAGGGCAGAGCCAGGAGGAGCTGGGTTGGCTCAGCAGAACCCCCATGATGGGCAGGGATGAGCCAGGCCCTCCCAGGCAAGTTGGATTGATGTGTCCTCATGACTGCCTGGGTGACATCTGTCACCGGGAAATGGAGTGAGGACAGAGCAGGACAGTTGCAGGCAGCTCCCTGGAGGGAGCAGCAGAGCCTGGAGAAGGAGAGTTAGAGGCCTCCTGGGAGAGCAAGGCTGGGCAGGCAGGAGCCCTGGCCAGGACCCAGCTCTGCTGCTGCCTGGGCAGCCCCTGCTCAGCCACAAGCAGTGAGCCAGCAGCACAACCACAGGAAAAGGGTTTGACACAGTTCTTGGGTGCCACTGCCCAAGCCTGACTACTCAGCTTGGCTGAGCTGGTATCCAGGTTTCTCTTAGGACTTATTTGCATTACTGCAAACTTTCCTAAAATGCTTCTTTTTGGGGGCAAAAATATCCTATTTTTGGTCTCAGTCCACAGAGATTTTCTTTTTCAAATTGGATTGAATTAAACTGTCCAGCTGTTTTCAACTTGAGAAATTGAAGGGAAAACTGCATTCTTCCCATTTGGAAAGAAAATGTAAAAAAAAACCCAAAACCCAAAAAAACTAAGTCATTAACATTACAGGGGTCTGGGATTCTCTCTCTCTCTCTCTTTTTCTTTTTTTAAATCCAATTATTATAAACTTCCTCTTTTTCCCTTGGGAAGATCCTGCAAGTTTTGCAATGTAAACTGTGCAGTAGCAGGGATCTGGGCTACACACGCACATCTACAACTACACCCCTGGGTTCTCCAGCTACTTATTGCACCCACACAGCCACCCTTGTGCACTCCTGGCTTTCACCAGCCCCCACCCCAGAACAGAGTCCTGCTTGACCACTGCCCACAAGAGCACGGGGATGGGAAGCAGGGGGCTGTACACACCCACAGACACTCCTGTGCCCACTCTCCCATGCACACCCATACACACCCCCCACACACACGTCCACCCCAAGCACAGCCACTTGCACCACCCAATGAACCTCCACGAGCCCCACAGCCCCGTTCATAGAGACACAGAATCATTTAGGTTGGAAAAGACCTCTGGGATCACCGAGTCCAACTGTAAACCTCAAACTGCCATGTTCCACTAAACCCTGTGCCCACTCCCATGTTCCCCATGCATCCTTCCATCCCATCACACCCCATTCCCACTCTCACATTCCCCATGCACCCTTCCATCCCATCACACCCCACTCCCACTCCCACATTCCCTATGCATCCTTCCATCCCATCCCATCCCATCCCATCCCATCCCATCCCATCCCATCCCATCCCGTCCCGTCCCGTCCCACGTTCCCCGTGCCGTGCCGCAGCGCCCCCTGGCGGTCTCCTGCCGCCGCGCCGCCCGCCCCGCCCCGCATCCCGGGTTGCCATGGCGACGGCAGGGATGCTGCGCCCCCCGGCCGGAAGGGCTTGAGGGGTTCCGTAGGCTGGGTCTTGAGGGGTTCAGCAGGCTCCTGGGGGCCTGGATGGCTGCAGGGCTTCTAGGAATCTGGGGGACTCCTGGGGCACTTCTGGGGAGGTGGGGAGTAACTGCCCAGAGGGACTGCTAGGGTGTGTTAGGAATCTGGGGTGAGCCCTATGGGATGGGGACTCTTGGGGAGCTGTGGAGGTCTGGAGAACTGGGAGATTTCTAGGGGCCTCTGCTGTCTGTTCAGCCATCTCCAGACCACTGGGTCAGTCTGGCTATCAAAGGAATGGGTTTGGCTTTGCCAGATCAGGAGCAGTAGGGAGCTGTGGTAAGGAGCTCTCATCCCCCACAAGAGCTGTCTCTTTTCCCCAGCTGGACAGAGAACAAGACACACAGCCCAACTGGTTTTCACACCCATGAGAGGCTCACAGACACAGTGTAGAGGTAACTCATGGATGTGCAGAGTTACCCCACAAGCACAGACCATGTGCTTCCCCCCACATCTTCGGCTTCCGTGATCTCCATCCTTCAGGAGCTGTGATATGGGGCAATGGCAGAGAGGACACATGTTAGATACCTTACTCAAAAGTACTAAATATCTTCTCAGGGGTTTATCCATTGCCACATCTTCAGAGCCATGTCCATGCAGCCCAGAGCATGAAAGCAGCCCATTGTGGGGGAGCTGAGACAGAATCCAGAGCAGGAACTTGCTGAATGCTGGAGCTCAGACTCTGAACATCTCACAGAGAGTTTCAGAATCCCTCTATAGGTGGCCTCAGCTGTGGTTCCAGGGGACAGCAGGGGTGACCTAAAGTTTCACAGGACCTGCCTGAACTGACCTCTCCTGACAGGCAGTCCAGGCCATGGGGTGTGCTCAAGTGCATCCCATTCAGAGTGACCTGCAGAGCCTACAGAACAGCTCCACATATCTTCCAGCACACAGCCCCTGCAACTCTCCACCCCCCTTTCTGGAGGACCATTTTGCACCCACACACGTCCTCCCTCTCCCAGACACACCAGAGGAAACATAATGTGACACACAAATATACTCTCACACAGGCACACTTGGGGGCAGTGTCACTGTCACACACACTGGTGATTTGCTGTGTATTTATAGAGGTGCAGGAAAACACACAGGCCAACTTATTTACACACCCACGAGGGGCTCACACACACAGTGGTGGGTTATACAAGCTCACATGCACACGTGTGAACAAGCATAAACATGCTACCTGTGCATGCACACACACTAAGCTGCTTGCGTGCACAGGTACCTTCACCAGCACCCACCCTGCTCACACCCACCCATGTGTTCCTTGGGTGGGCGTGGGGACAGGAGCTCCCGGGAGCCCTGTGTGCCTCCCTTCTCCCAGCACCACTGTGGCCAAGTCAGAAGGGAATTTCCAGCTGCAAAGCTGCAGCTAACAGATTTAGAGACTTCCTCCCCAGTGATTGCTGGGCCAAGTTAATGGTTCACCAGCACCCTGCTTCTCCTGCCCTTCCCTGCTGGCTGTCTGGGGCAGGGCAGGCAAGGAAGGACTCCCTGGTGGGCATCTCCAGCACCCCAAGCAGCCCCCCTTGCCTTGCAGTCTGCCCAGCACTGTGAGCTCTGCTTTTACCCTGCCTGGCAGTACCCAGCACGTGGGGCATTGCCCGCTTCAGCCACCTCAGCTTAGAGCTCTCTTGAAGAGGGGCATACAGGAAAGCCCCCAGTGTCCAACACTGCAGGCACAGCAGTGTGGGCCTCTCTGCCCAGGCTCTCTCTTGCCCTGCTGACATCCCTCTGGGGGTCCTCAGCCCAGTGGGGCATTGCCAGCTGAGCAGGCACTGCACACACACATTCCACTCTGCAGTTACCTAAACCCCTGTGCTGGGTAACCCTGGAGAAACCAGTTCCTGCAGCTCCTTGCAGCATGGGAGGGACCCCCTCAGAGATTCCTGGAGCCCCTGGAACAGAGGCTTGGCAGCTTGCCTTGCTGGGCAGCCAGGCAGGCTGCTCCTCACTCTGTGTTTGTCCATGAGGGGCACAGGCTGATCAGGTTATAAAGACATACATGCCTGGCACCCTGCCACCCAGGTGGGGTTGCACGTGGCCCATGGCATGCCAAGTGAATGCCTTGCATGCCACCAAGCCAACAGTGTCAGCGCTGTCCTGGGCTTCTGTGTGCCAGGCTCTGCAGCAGGGACTGCAGTGACATGGCTAGAGTGAAAAGAATACAGGGTCCCCTCAAGAAACTCAGAGCACAACAGCATAGTTTTAGAGCAGCTAGATGTACCTCCAGCATGAGGCATGAGTGGAGGCACCATGGACTGCAAACAGCCCAGGTCAGATGGTGGCGGGACACAAAGTGGCACCCCAAGTAGTGACAGCTCTGGGTGATGGGAGGAGAGCACTCACACACTGGAAGCAGCAGAGCAGGGCAGGAGAGTACTCACCCTCATCCACACACATCTCCAGGCTTGACAACCACAGAGAAAAACAGAGGGTAGATAAAAAGTGAGCTGGACTTCACCACAGGTCCCAGCAGGGCTAGGGCTGGCAGGAGTGTGACTGATTGGGACTCACAGCTGGGGCAAGGCAGCTCTCTGGCTAATCCCATTCCAGTACGGTGGTCAGCGCTTCTCAGCCCTCCCCAGGAAGCGCTGTGGCATACAGCTTTAAATAGCTTTATTAGTGAAAGCTCTGTGCCCACAGCTCCCACCACGGGGACCATGGGTAAGCCAGGCAGCCCCGTGCTGCCCTCTGGGGAAGCCAGAACTCCCCGGAGCGCAGAGCTGAGCTCACCCACGCTGACCCTGCCACCGGCTCCACCTGTCTCTGTCCCAGGGGGGCCTTGTGAGCCTGGAGGTGGCCTCCCAAATTGTCCTTGCGTGACCCCAGGCTATCAGATGCAGAGGCTGAGCTCCTGACGGACGGAGCACTTGCGGCACTGCACCACACAGCACCAGTGGAAGCGGCAAAGGCAGTTCTCCTCCAGCACCACCGTCTCGTCGCGGTGCCCTCTCCCGCAGCACAGCAGGTCGCAGCCACTCGTGTCCATGGCTGTGCTGTTGCAGACACGGCCCCTGGTGCCCAGTGAGCCCGTCTTGCGATTAGCCGAGCAGAAATCAGGTGAGTCGGCCGAGTAGATGAGGTCCTGTTTATCGGGAGGCTTGATGTTGTCACCCACAGGGATGAGGGTTTTCCCGTCGTTGCCTCCCATCACCTTGAAAGCCCCATTGAAGCGCTCGAGCAGGCGATCCCCCACCTCACGGAAATGGGGCATCTTCCTCCAGCAGGTCCGCAGGGTGCAGGAGCCCGACAGCCCGTGGCACTTGCACTCCGTCCTCATGTAGCTGCGCACCGCCTGAGGAAGAGACAGCCACGCTCAGCCCTCGGTTCCCTCTCTCGCTGCCCAGCACCCCCAGCCAAAACCCTGCCCCTTGGGGCTGCCCTGGCCCGGGGAGGGGCTGGGGGTGGAGAGTGGCCCGGGGGTTTCCAAAGCACCTGCAAAGGATACCCAAAAGATATTGGGTCACATTTCAGCCAAAGCTGGTGCAGGTACATGGCTTGGGGACACTGAAGGCGGAGGGCTGGGCAGGGCACAAGGGGTGCAGGGGACAGGGAGTGCAGGGGCCTTACCAAGCGCCCGGCTTCATTGTTGTGCAGGTCGATAAGAGCTCGGATGTCATTTTTGCCTTTCTTGTTCTTGGCATCCATGAACTGCTGGGATTTCTCGTAGCCGAACTGCACATCATCCCCACAGCCCCCCCACTCCCAGGCAGTGCCCTCTGTGCCTGGCCCGGCTGTGGGCGAGGGGGGGGCCCGGCTCCGAGTCAGCTCACAGCCACACTGCAGCAGCTCGCCCATGCTGCAGGCCTGCGTGATGGCGTGGCTCACTCCCGCCGCCGTGATGGCGTACACGAAGGCTGTTTCACGGATATCTGCAGGAGAACGGACAGGGCTGGGATGTGGGGTCAGCTCCAGCAAGCAAAGCACCACGCCCTGGCTGACATCCCAGGGGCTCAGACTCCCCGTTCTCCCCCTCCATATGTGTTCGGTGCTGTTCCCTGGGTGATGCACCCACCCTGGAATGGGCTGCCTGGAGCAGGTGATGCCTCTTGCAAGCAGATTTGAAGTCTCTGGGGGATGGTCAGGCCCTGCCAGTGTTCCTGCACTCAGCTGTGGAGAGGCAACAAATCTCCCACCTCCTCTTGCAAGTCTGGGTGCTGCCCCATGGGAAAGAGGGAAGCTCAGAGAGCAGAGGGTGGTCCCAGATCACCAGGTGGTACCCACAGCTTCCTCACACTACCCTGCAATATCCCTCCAAGCAGTAAAAATCCCAACCCCAGCTCCAAAGTGGCACCTGGAAGGGCACACTGCGAGGGATACCGAGGCTGTCACTCACCCTCTGCAGGGCGGCAGTGATGAAGCTGTGCTGCCTGCTCTCCCCCCACTACCCTCTTTGCCATGGGGAGCTGCCCGCCCCCCTCTCTCCACCGGCACAGCCTCCACCCTGCAGGATTATTTATTATTAGTATTTGCTCCTGTCTCTCTCTGCTCCGGGACACGAATTCCAAGCATCTTTCCCCTGCCCGGACCTGCCGCTCGCAGCCGCAGCCAGCGGGGGATTCTGGCAGCAGGGGTGCGGCGCCCTGCTCGGGGGGCTCCCGCGCTCCCTGCGCCATGCCAGCCCGGCTCCTGCCCACCCGAATGCCAGGGCAGGGCTGGCCCAGGGCGGTGGCCTGCAGGGGATTCCTGGCGAGGGAGGGGAAGGTGGGTTTTGGGGGGTGTCCCATCCCTCCATCTTCAGTATTCCGACTTGGGGAGGCTGCAGGAAGAGGGATACCAGCGCACCCGTTCCTGAGCGGCTCCTCCAAAAGCCCACGCGGCACCTGCATCCCTCTGATATTAGCAAGAACTGGGCACACCGCTGCCTCTCTGGCAGTGCCACCAAGGGGGTACCACCCCCTCCCCAGGCCCTCCTGCCCGCGCAAGCCACCCGACCACCCGCCTGCTCCCACCTGGGGCTGGCAGAACCCTCAGCAGACAGCCCAAAGCTGGCAGAGATCCCCATGCCACCCTGCCAGCCGGGCCCTGGGGGGATGCCGCTCCTCTGACAGTTCCTCCAGACACGTGGCTGCCCCCAGGCCAGCCTGCCCTGGCATGCCACACCTGGCACAGGTGGCAGCAAGGGAAGAGGGGACAGCCATGGCAGGGAGGCCATGGCCAGGAATGAGAGGTTTGCAGCATCCTTGGATAGAAAAGGATATTGGATGGAAGGTGTTTATCTGATGGAGCTGGGAACCCCAAAAATGCTGAGATACTTTGAGCAGTCCCTGCAGGCTTACAGGGAGGCTGGTACCTGCTGGCACCTCTGAGGGCTTCTAACACCCACCTTGTTGCCCTGGGGAACTCCACACCTCTAGCTGGGATACCCCATGTGCTCAGAGTGCCAGGGATTCAAACTCACCACTGCCCCTACGACATTGCTTATCTCTACCACCCCAGCAGGGAGGCTGGACCAGTGTGGTGGCTCCTTCAGCATCCCCATGCTTGCTGTACCTGTGCCTCCTCCAACACAGGCTCTTCCTGGGCACCCAGCAGCTCATCTGCCAGGACCTTTCACTCACCACCTGGCCTGGCCCTGCATTCTGACACCACCCCACTTCCAGAGCAGATCCCTGCCTGGTACAGATCCCACCACCCTCACTGCCAGTTTATGGTGAAAATAGGTGACTCCAGCGGCAGGAGAGTCCCCCATGTGCCCTGACTCTCTGCCTCTTGACTGAACACACCTCCCTGTGCTGGGGGGAACCCACATCTGCAAACCAGCTTTTTAAATGAGCCTATCCCCCTCCCGTGGGCCAGTGTCTCCCTTGAGGCTCCAGCTCTGACCCCCACTGGTATCTGCAGTCAGTTGGGTGCCCAGGGCACCCTGCCTTCTCCAATCCCCTCAGGGATGCCACCTTCACCCCCCTGCATGGCCCATGGACATATCCACTTTGCCTTGGGCTGGCCATGCACCAACAGATGTGACGGCTGAGGAGACTGGGGCTTGCTCCAGCATCTTCATCTGCCATAGCACAGGAACCAACATGGGAAGAGAGGCAGGACTAAACTCACCTCCCACTAAGTGATCCTACCAACCCAAGTGTTTCAAGCAATCCCTCTTGCTCGGAGCACCATCCACTCCCGGCTCCTCTCCCTGAGGAGCATGGCAGGGCTTTCCCATCCCTTACACACTCACAGGTGCCCTCTTGCTCTGCCCCTGCTCTGATTTTGCTGCAGCTGGGCCTGGCTTGGACTGCTGTATCCACTATCTGAGACCTGCACATACCTTCCTGCCACCCAGCCCTGTTCCTCAGGGCGACACCAGGGTGCCCATCCAGGGACAGGGACAGGGACAGGAGACAAACACTCCTCTCCTCCGCTCCCTGCAAGGCCAGGAGGAGGGATGTGAAGGGCACCCACGGGGTGAGGGGCAGCTCCCACTGGCTGCACACTGCCTCCCAGCCGGGCCCCTTCCCACAGCACACCCTGGGGTCCTGGGGGAGCAGTAAATCACTGCCAGACGAGGGTGCATTCTTGGGCTTCATGAAGCCCCGCACTGTCTGGGAGCATTGGTAATTGCTTCATTACAACACAGGGAGACATGTCCCGGCAGTAAAACCTCAGCGTGACTGCACCGGGGAGCACTGAGCAACCCCTACATGCACACACACACATGCAGCTTTGCACGCCAGGACTCTGCTCCAGGAGTCCCGGGGAGGTGCTTCACCAGGCTGGGGTCTTTTTGGGAAATGGGAATCTGAGGAAGCACTGGCCTTACCCTGCTGCAGGATCTTGCCGAAGTACTTGCTGTGGCTGGTGCAGTTCCAGCGGCGGAAGCGGAATTGGTACTGGCACTCCCGGACGCCCAGCTTGGTGCCCTTGGCCACCTCCTGCACGATCTCTGGCTCCAGCTGGCACAGCTCTGCCTGCTTCCCCGCCAGCCGCTTCGTCTTGCGGCAGATGCTGTTGGGGTCCATGACCAGGGGGCTCCCCACTGCCCTGCAGGAGGGGACAGCGAGCAGAGCAAAACCAGCACCCAAGCCCAGAGAGACCAGGGTGTGGATGGGACAGGACCAGACCTACCCCCAGCGATGGGGCAAGGCTGTGGGGCAGTGCCAGCTCCATGCTGAGCCGCGTGACAAGGGGACAGAGAGACATATGCAGTGGGGGTGGGACAAACGGGTATGGGTGGCTCACCCAGGCAATACCTTGCCCTGTCCATCCATTGGGGAACTCGGGGGATCTCCTACTGTGGGACAGGTTATAGGATGATGCTGGTATATATCACTCTACATCCTTGGGGACACCCATGGGGGTGATGGTGGTGTCCCCAAGGGGGATGGCAGAAATATTGTGCTACTCAGCATCTGCTCTTTGGGGCTGGCACTGACCTAACCCAGCCCTGGCACTGCCATGTGACTGATGCCCAGTGCAGCTGCGTCTCCCAGAGCTGTGGACACAACAAGAAGCCCAGCCAGCATGCTTGGTGTGTCTCCCCCTCTCCACGGGTTCTCGCTGCTTTACCCCGTGGGAGACTAGAAGAGTGACCTTGCCTCTGATAAAGCCCCTCGGCTGCTGGCCAGGATCCTGTACTCACCTCCCCAAATCCAGGCACTGACTCCAGGGAACGGAGCCGCAGGCGGGTGCGGGAGTGCAAGGGAGGGATGCAGGTGGCATTGCCAGCTTTGCCAATGCCAGTGAGGGAGGGCAAGTCTTGGCTGGGCCCACGTCAGAGGCAGCTCCTCCTTGCCAGCACAGCTGGCGTGAGGTGCCTGACTCCCTGGCCCTGAAGGCAAAGTCTGAGCACACTGCTGTGCTCCCCGGGGTGCCATGGGCTACAGAAACTCCTGTGCTTTCCCCACACATTTCGCCCGCAGTGCCCTCCACGGCACAGCTGGCGCAGCTGCGCAGCCCTGCAGCACCCTGCCTCGTGCTGGCACGGGCCATGCTCCAGCTCTGCCACCGGCAGCTCCGGGGCCGTGGGCCACACGAATGCAGCACACCCTAACTCAGCCCACCCTTGCCTCCAGCGCTGCTCCTGTGGGCTCAGAGCTCATCCTGCTCAACAACAGGATTTTCATGGCCACGGATGCCCATGGAAACTCAGGGCTGGACCCAGCATACCCCAGGACCAGGACATGCCTGATATTGGGAGGTTACATTCCCTGGGATTCCCTGGGGAGCAGTGCTTGGGCGGCCCGTGCTGCCTTCAGCCCCACTCACTGGGGAGCATCAGCTGCACAGCTTCCAAACCCAGAGCTTTATAGTCTGGCCAAGCCCCAGGGGCTCAAAAATCACAAGCTGAATCTCAGTGTTTAACTGTGTTCTGGGTTTCCTTTTCACTCTTGTGCAGCTGGGGGGCTGTGTTTGGGACACCAGGCTGCAGTAATCTGCTTGCAATCCTGTCCCCAGTGCAAACCCCCTCCAAGCCCCTTGTTTGAAGCTGAAAGCCCTGCCAGGATCCCCCTGATTCACGTCAGCTCCCCAGCTGCCTGGATCTCCTGCCTACCAGACCCCAGCTGGGCTTGGAGAGGACGTGCCCTCTCACACAGCCTGGAAAAGGAGCCCTTATGCTTTGGCTGGAGGTTTAAAGGTTAAACAGCTCAACAAGAGAGGCATAGCCTGGAAAGGGAACTTCCAGCAGGGAAACTGAGGCAAGCCCACGCTCCTGCCGGGAAGAACCCATCTCCCTTTGCTCCTGGCAGCTCAACTTCCCTTTGCTGCATGATTCACATGGAGCCCTGCAAAGGGATGGGGCAGCTAGGGAAGCATCGCAGAGCTTGCCTGGCACAGGTCCTCCATAGAAGGGGAAACTGAGGCCCACATGGAAAGTGACCAGAAAATCTGTCCAGACCCATCCCATGATGACCACACAGGGATCCAAGCCTCCATGTTGGTCTCCAAGCTTGCTGTCTTTTGTGACCACAGCAGGATGGCGGAGGTTTGGCTGCCTCCGCCGGTGGAGTGGGGAAGAGGGGGAGCCGAGATGGGACTTTCATTAAGAGACGACTCTTTGTACTCATATAAAAACGATGCGCCAGCCCCCCGGGGCCGTCAGATCAAATACTGAACTGAGCCTCACCCCAGCCCGCTGGATCAGGCCAGGAAGAAGAGCTCAGCCCCGCGGGTCTGGGGGTGATGGGCGGCTCACCGGCACCGCGGGGGTCCCCACCCATGGTCCAGGCGGCAGCAAGGCTGGCGGGAGAGCGCAGGAGCTCTCTGTCCCTGCCGACGAGGCGTGGGGTGGGCTGCCTAAGTCCAAAGCGATATTAATTTCCGCTGGGCTCCACTTTCTGGCACTGGGAGGCTGCCGGGAGCCCAAGAGCTGTTTTGCTTTGGAGGGTTTAGAGGTGGGGGGAGAATGGGGGGAGACAAGGGCAAGAAAAATGCTGCCAAACTGCTACCACTTTGGCAAAGGCTCCGGCGCAGGGCCCAGATCTGCCTGAGCTTGTCCCGCTCCAAGGCCTCCCGCATCTACAATTAAGGTGCCCCACCTCTGCTGCCGGGCACTCCTCCCCCTGCCCTGGTGAGGGAACAGGGTCGCCAGCCCGGCTCCCCGCAACTTGCCTGGGGCACCCCAGCCCCCTGCCGCCTCCTGCCTGGGAGCCCCCAGCCAGGCTCAGCAGCACAGCAGCATCCCTGCCACCCGCCCCTGGCGCCCTTTGCTGGCTGCCAGAACTGCTGCTGGGGGCTCTGGCTTGCCCCGAAAGCCAATGGCATGGTGAGCCCCACTATCCAACCTCCCAGCACCCCTGTGTAAGGGAAACAGCCCCCGTCGCTGAAAGGGGAGACTGAGGAACAGAAAAGGGGCTGCAAAGCTCTGCCCACTTGCTGCTGTCACCCCTTAGGCTGCCGCAGCCACAGCCTGAGCCCGGTCCCGGTGACGCACGTCAAACAGGAGTCACCGGGGCTTCTGGTGCAACCCCTGTGCTCTGGATGCTGTGCCTGCTGCAACACAGACGGGGATTCCCAAGAGCCATAAGCACCATTTTTGCACAGCTCTGCTCATGGTCATGGAGCTTCCAGCACATCCCAGTCTCATTCCCAGCCAAAATCACGGACCAAGGAGCCTGGGCCAAGTCACCATCTTCTCCTTGGGCATGGGGATGATGTGGAGCAGGACTTCTGGCCCCTGCCAGCAGACCGTTATGGAGGGGACCCAGTGGGGTCCTGGTTTGCAGGAAGCCAAGGCAGTGAGGCTGGTAGAACTATGCAGTGAGGAGGAGGATAGTCAGCTTTCAAAAGTCACACCTGCAGGAGAGCAGTGGTTGGGCCATGCCAGCTCCATGTGGGATCTGACAGGCCTGCACCCATTGAGTACTGCTGCCTGGGCACTCCCGTGGGGCAAGGGGACTCTGCTCTAGGGTAGTAAGGCTGTGTGTTGCCTCTGTCCCAGCCTCTGGAAGCCTTCAGCAGGGTGATGTAGGTACCAGGGTGCCCAGGTCATCACTCTGAGCCCACAGGTAACACTGCACCCACCTGGAGAGGTGAGAACTGCAGGGTGACAGCCCTGGAGAACTGACCTCCATCCCTGGGGACATAGGTCACCTCACGCCCCACACAATGATGTCACACTGCATGACAGCCTACAAGTCAAACACAAAGGGAGCCCATCTCTCTCCAAGCTGTGCAAACGGGGCAAGGGAGACCCACAGGTGAATTTTCACCCATCCAGCTTTCCTAGAGCCCATGCAGGCACATGGCTCAGCCAGGGCCATGAGTGGGTGCTGCCACTAACCAGGGCAGCTGGGTGTGGAGGCAGAGCAGGAGGCCCGTGGAGGTGTGGTGAGTAAGCAGCCAGTCACTGCCCTGGGGGGCACAGCCAGGGCTTGGCTGCCGAGCAGCACCTGGGGCACTGAGGGAGCAGGAAATGCCATGGGTTGGGAAGAGAAGAGGGACCCCATTCCCTGTCCTCCTCACATCTCCTTGGCGAGGATGGCATGCAAACAGCTGGGAAGCTGCCTAAAGGATAGAGGCTTTGGCATGGCATTGCATCAACCCATGGACCTGCTAGCTGCAGGGTCATGCTGAGGCCAGGTTGTCGTGAGCAGGAGCTGCCCAAACTTGTGCTGCAGCTACTGGGGGGATGGAGGGAGCATTCACCTGCAGAGGTGGTGGTCCTAAAGCCATGTCCAAACCCTGGAAGGGCTGGGATAAGAAGAAAGAAGTCCACCCACTCGTGGTCACTGCATCCTTCTTCTGGGTGCTGACAGAAGCTGGAGCTGGGGTAGCATGAGGGCCTGGCTAGTTCATGCCCAGATGTGGGTGCCACATGTTGTGGGAGGACCCTGCAAAGCCTGAGCAGATGTCAGGGTGTGCCCAGGGTGTACCCTCCTGCACGAAGGGGGTTTGAAGGGCTCAAGGTTCTGATGCAAAGGCCAGACAAATCCTCCCTTTGGGGGCATGTGTAGGGCATGGCCAGGGAGCCTGGGTGTCAGCATGGGAGAGTGGGTGTGACCAGGAGCAGGGACAAGGGATGGCACTGGGGAAAGTTCAGCTGCCTTTGTGGGAGAAAACAAATCGCCCAATGCTGGAGCCAGCAGTCACCTCAAAGGGCGCAAGAGAAACATTGTCCCTTCAAAAAACCCAGCAAGTCAGCAGCTGGCCCAGCAAGGGCACAGGGAGATGGCATCAGGCAGGGACTCTCCCAGTGGGAGATTCCTCTCTGCCCATATGGTGCTGCTCCAGGAGGAAGGCATGCCGGGGAAGGCTGGGCAGCCCAGTCTGCTGGGCGCCGTGGGGTAGCAACTGTGGGTCAGCAAGCCCAGGGGTGACTCACAAGGCTCACCCCAAGGCACGCAGGCAGAGCCCTCCAGCCCAGCAGCCTGCCCTTACAGGCTCTAGCCTTGCAGGGTGGGTGCTGGGCCGGGCAGGGAAAGGGAAGGAGAGACCACTGCTGGGTGGTCACACAGGGTGTGTGGCTTGAGGAACATGGGACTGGGACCTCCTGAAGCAAGGGTACAGCCACAGGGGCTGGTGGGAGAGGTCCTCTCTGAGCACCTTTGAGGAAAAGCTGGAGGTGCACTGCCCTTGTGCATGGATGGGAAGGGGATGGAGGGCAGGTGTCCACTCCTCTGGGCCCCCTCAGACACACAGCTGGAGCAGAGCACATTGCAGCTGGGATGATTTTCTCCCTTGCTTTCTCTTCCATCTCCCAGCTGCTCTCAGCCATGCCCATGGAGAGCCAACAGGCACCAGGGAAGGTGGTTTTGCTTGCCCCCATCCCCAGAGTGCCTCTGCACTCCTGCAAGCACAGCCCGACGCAAACCGGCTGGGCTGAAATCCTGTCCTGAACCTGCCTGGGGCTCCACAGACTCTAAGTTTGCCCGCTCTGTATCTCTTCAGCCTCTGGGCCAGCCCAGGAGCTCCAGGCAGTCCCTACCTCTCCTCCTCAGGGAGAAATCACTGTTGCACAAGGAGCTGAGCAAGAAATGTGTAAAGAATAGGGGAGGAGGAAGAAAGAGGATTTATGGAGCTGCTGGGAGCAAGGAGAGCCTACTCCCTGCAGCTTGGCACTAATCAAGGTGCCAGCAGCACGTGAGGGACATATCTTCCATTGGCACTGACCACAGCCTGCTCCCTTTGCCATGGAAAGGTCTGTGTCTCCAGTGAGCTCTCTGGGGACATCCTAGCACAATGAGGATGCTCTTTCTCAAGCTACAATGTCACTAGCAGGATGCCAGTGCTTGTACATCACACCCAAATCTTTTTCCATAGATGCAACCATGTGCCAGGATCCCAATGGGCACAGTTATCACCTGTGAGTGGCCAGACCCGGCTGCTGGCCTGGGCTGGGACTGTGCCTCTTGAGATCCAGCCCAGCTACAGCCCTCTCACTAATTTTCAGTGGGGGAAAATGCTGGCTTATACAGGAAACCCATGTATCCCCTCACCACACAGATAATGTACTAAGGGGTGGGATAGGAAAGTTGCAAAGACATTTCTTTCTTGGGCAGGGGAAAATGCCTCCTTGGCTAAGCACCCACAAGTGCCCAGTGATGCACACGCAAAGGTGTGCCACCAAAGTCCCCATGCATCAGTGACAGTGACAGTGAGGAACAGCTCTATCGCTGCCACCAGTCCTGGTGCTTCCAGGAACTCTGGCACAACACACAGCTGCTCCCCTGAACCCCTCCCCAGCAACAGCATAAGCCAGACACCAGTGCTACCCAGACCTGGGAGAGGGGAGCAGTACCAGGAGCATGACGTGGGAAGATGCCTGTCATGAGTGCCCAGACTCCTCTGCCCCACACAGGAAGGGCTCCCTGAGATGATCTCAGCCAGGGGCCAAAACACCAAACTCTGAGAGAAGGAGTTCATGAATCACCCAGCTGCTCCTGTGCCCTGTCCCAGGAAGCGTGGCACATCTGTTTGGTGGCGCTGGTGGCCTCATCCACCCACCACCTCATCCCAGCTCGCTGGCTCCAGAGTGAAGCAGAGTGTGAGCGGGTGATCCCCCTGAAGCCACTCCACTGCCCAGTGCATTTGCTGTGCATCAGGCAGCTGAGTTATTATTCTTAAAATAAAGGTCCCTTTTCTTCTTTTTTTAAAAGAAGAAAAAACAAGTTTGACCCCTTGCCCTCCTCTGCCAAATCCTGCTAATCTCCTGAAGTCACTGCTGCCTGTGCACACATGGCACCAGCAGGACGCAGACTCCACGGTGAGATGCAGTTCTGAGCACCTGGGGCAAGGGGCAGTGGTAGCCCAGCACCCTGCCCTGGCTGGTGCTCTCTGCCTGCCTCTGAAATGAAGGCAAAATGAGCTTCTGCTTCATCTTTACCTGCTCCAGTCACAGGCAGATGTCCTCAAAGATGGAGCACAGGGCATGAACTTGGAGATATTGATGAGGATGGGGCAGAGAAAGCATGGACAGCTGAAGGGACAGCTGTGTGTGTGTGTGTCTGAGAATTAGCCAGGGAGAAACAGCAGGTCTCAGGCAGCAGGAGGGCATATGCCCTGCAACGGCACAGCTCTCCTGAGGTGGGTGACACGGAGCATGGAGACCCTCCACAGGCACCCTGCCTTGGCCAGGGCTTGCCCTTCCCCAGTCTCCCCTCTTCTAGCAAAAAAACCCAAGGCAAGTCCCTCTCAGCCCCATGCTAAACCCTTCCCTGGCAATAAACACAGCGCTTGAGCTCCAGGGACAAACTCTCAGCTGATGTACGACTGACTAACAGCACCATTTACACTCACAAAGGCCCGCAGTGCAGCCCTGGAGCCAGGGCTAGCAAAGGGAATGGAGATGTGGAATAAATCACTGGTGGGCAGGCAGGGGACCGTGAGGGGAAAGGCTTATGGAGAGCTTTATTTTAGGGGTCAAAAGAGTGTGACAATGTGGAGACGAATAGCCTCAGATAATGAATGATAGCCCGGACGGCACGCCGGGGAGCTGGAATCTAAGCACTTAAAACCGGATAAAGACAGGCTGGGTGAAATTCTTAATAGATTTAAATAGTTCATGTTTCGACAGATACCTGGGCTTTCCAAGGCTGGGTCCCAGTTCTGTGCCTGTAATGAATCCCCCACCCCCTCTGGTATCCTGCAAGGCACCGTCTCTGCCTTTGATGAGGGCACCATTACAAATAGGGGTTTTGTCCCTGCTGTGTCCGGGCCACCATTCAGGGGGGACACTGTAGGGACCCTAAGGCTTTTAATTAAATTTGACTTATTGAAGGGGTCTGGAAGCCACTAAGCCCCCTTGCCCACCCCTCAGGCATACAAGCTTCCCAGGCAGTGGGCTGGGGGTGTGGGGAGGCAAAGTGCAACTCTCACCACAGGACCTGTGCACCCTGTACTCCTGGGGATCCCCAGGTCTGCTGCCTCCAGCACACTTGTGTGCCCAAACCCTGGCAGTATGTGGGTGCCCCAGTCTGGATCAGAACAGCCAGCGAGCAGCAATTCCAAGCCAAGTGGTGCCTGGGTGTAGGGGACTCTTTTGTCCCCAGGCTGGGGGGGGACTGCCCCCGGAGATCGAGATACCCTGTGCCCCCTCCTGCTTACCCCTCCCGGGATGTCCTACTCACCACCAGAGCCCGATGATGTTAGCGGGGCAGAGGAGGATGAAGAAGAGCCCCAGCTGGGTCCGGGAGGAAGGCAGCATCCTGCCAGGACTGAGGAAAGCGTCGAACTCGCTCCACGCCACTGGCCGGGAGCCGGGCACCCCCGAGGTCCGGCCGGGGCCCCGGCGGGTGGGTGCCCGCTGTGTCCCTCCGCCGGGCCGGGCCGGGCCGGGCAGGCAGCGCGGCCGGCGGGGCCGTCCGGGCCGGGCTGGGCTGGGCAGGCACCTCCGGGCGGCTGGAGCGCGGCGCGGAGGCTGCTCCGGAGAAGGAGGAGGGACGGGGCTGCGAAAGCATCTGCTCCGACAGGGAAACCGGAGCCCGGGGGACGGACAGGGCGGGCCGGGCGGGGGGACTCCCGGGTGCCAGGCTTCGTTCCCAGCGCAAAGCCACGGACACGATGTGGGCACGGGCACCCTCCGGTAGAGGACCGTGGCCGCAGCCTGTCTGGCCCCGCGTCCCGCCGCCGCGTTTGAATGTGCAGCCCTTTTTGCGGACCTGGCTGGCACAGCCCTGCCCCCGAAGCCCCAGGACTTGCTGCGGACCTGCTTGGCACAGACCTGCCTGGCAAAGCCCTGCTTGGCAGAGCCCTGCCCGGCTCCACGCGGGGTCCTGCCGCAGCCCTGTCAAGCCCGACCTGGCCTCGAGGTGTCCCCGACACCTCCCTGTCACACTCTTGCCCGACCCTGATATCCCTGGCATGGCCTTGCCCAAACCTGGCGCCCCTGTGTTGCCCTCAGCACAGCCCTGCCCTGCCCCTGTCCCCGGCTGGGCTCGCCTGGCACAACCCTGGCTCCATGATGCTGCCTGTCCTCAGACCAGTCTGTCCCGCTTGGGAAAGCTGGAGGAGTGACCCCTCACAAGCATCTCCCAACACAGCTCCAACACTGGAGAGACACGTCTGGGGCAGAGGGACACACAGGAAAATTACGGAGCCAGACCTAGGAGCAAGGAGAACCAGGAGACCAGGAGAAGAGTGTAGTGAGGGACATCTTGTTTATGGTGATTCCATTTCAGGTGCAGGCAGGACCCAGAATGGACACAGTCCCCAGCACCAGATCACAACAGGAGGAGCAGCAGGAGCTGCCTGGGGCAGGAGGAAGCTGACGTGCCCAGAAGGTAGCAGGAAGCCACACAAAGGCTGTGCCACTGGGGACAGGAGGAGCCCACAGCCTGCCACACCAATTCTCCCTACAGAGGAGCCTCAGGAATGGTTTTCCAGAGCTCAGTCCAGTGCTCTGCATCTCTGATTCCTCTTGTACCATTTATGGCTCCCAGCAGAGGTTGGGGATGCAGCTGCCAGCCCTGCAGCATCTATGCCATGGACCCTGGAAGAAAATCTACCCTGAGGGAGTCTCACCTGATCTCTGTACCCAGCTCCACGGAGCAAGCAGCCAGCCCACTGGGTTATCCCAAGGGAAAAGGAGGTGTCTTCCACCAGTGATGGGCAAAGCAGAGCACCCTTGCTGCTGGTGAGATCACGCCTCCCTCCAGCAGCTATTTGTGCTCTGACCCCCCTCGTGGCCTCCCATACAAGCCTCTCAAGCCCCTCAAGCCCCTGGCTTGCCCTTAACTGTTCCCCTTGCCTTGATCACCAGTGGTTTCATCCCTTCATCTGGGCACATCTGCTCCCTGCTAACAGCATTCGGTGGTGAATGGCTCAGGCTTTATCTGCAGCTTGGCACAATTCTCTCCCTCCTGGGCACAGGAGGTAAGAGACTCCCACCACCCCTGGAGGATTCACACCTGCTTTCTCTGCCCTCCCACACAGGAAATGGGCTCCTGGTCTGCATCCTTGGCGTGGTGACTAGGACTGAGCTGCCCTGGCCACAGCAGGGGGACATGGGGACAGCGTGGCGATTTCCAGCCCAAACACCTCAGCGCTCAGCAGCCACATACTTTCCCAGGGACACGGGCTCAGTCCCTGAGCTGGGCACTGCCTCTGGGCTGCTGCACCATGCCCTGTCCCTGTTGCCTTTTGCCTTCACCCACCAGCCTCCATGCTAGCTGTCCTACAGGGACCCCGTCACCTCTAATTTGGGGGGATAGTCCACAAGGAATAGCTCGTGGAGAGGGGACATCCCTGCTAGGGCTGGGCGAGGCTAACGCTGTAGCCAGGGGCCCGGTGCCTGCCGGCAGAGCTCGTTGCACCGCGCGGATCATCTGCCGGTGTGTTGAAAGTGCCTGTTGTCCCTCCGCCCCTAGCGCCTGGCCTCCTCGCAAAGGCAGCGCGGGGCAGGTGAGAAGCCTTTATCTGATTTCCTAAGGGCAGAAAAATCCCTTTGATTTTGCCCCGAAGAGGGGAGCGGGGGGTGGGGGTGCCGTCTCGGCGAGCAGGTGCGGCTGGTGCTCAGCAACTCGCCTTATCATGTCAGCTCTGCGTGAGGCTGGAGGGGCCGGGGGGGCTGCGATGGCCTCAGCACACTTATGGCAACTGGCCCCATTGCCTGGCTCCTAGGCAAAGCCCCCTTAGAGGGGCTGGTGGGGCAGAGTGGGCAAAGGCAGGCTCCTTGCTCTGTGTCTGGATCAGAGGAGCTGGGATGGGGTATATGCCAGGAGTTTGCCCCTATTTCACAGCTTTTCTCACAGCTGCATAAATATCCTCCTTTAGCAAGGGGAAACTGAGGCACAGAGATGCTGAGACCTGCTGAAGCAGGTGGGGAGTGGTTGCCTGTTCGCTCAACCCCGGTAATTTTCTTGCTGCTTCCCCTTCCACAGCAAGACCCAAAGGCACATGTACTTCAGGGGCAAACAGTGACAGTGACATACTAATCCAGGGTGACAGGGATGCCACTGCCGCTCTGAAGCAGCCTCCACCATCACAGCTGATCCTTTGTCTCTGCCTTTCCTCGCCTCTCACAGCTCACTCCCCCCCCCCGGCTTTTGTGTTATTACAAATTATAAAACAATTTTTTCCTGCCGTCCCGCATTCTTCTGCCTCCTGCAAGAATTTTAATGTATTTATTTTTGCTATCAGGGGAAAGCGCCGTGTTCCTCGGCCACCCCCAGGCAGCCCCGGCCCCACTTGGCCACTGATGGAAATTAATGACGGAGGATGCAGGGGGAGAGCAGACACCCCTGCAACAGAGAGGTGGGGGGACGGGTGCCCCCCAAGCCAGCCATGTTTTTCCAGTGGCAAGGTCTGCAGAGGACAGAGAGCTCAGCTGTAGTAGGGGTGATGGGACAGAGGGGCTGTGGGGTCCCCAGATGGGCCTGGGCTCCCGAGGAGAAGTTGTTGGTTATGGGCTGGGGAGGGGACAGTTATTGGGTGGCTGGGCACCCAACCAAGAGGTGCTTTGATGTCCAGTTTTGAGGGTGCTGTGTTGGAGAATCATCCACATATAGCAGCATGACTTTGAAGTCCTCTTGAGGCAGAGGAGACCTCTCCAGGACTCCAGCCCACTCTGCCTCTTGTGACAGCATCCCCAGTGATCCCTAGCCTGCTTGTGAGACAAAGCATCCCCTGAGTGGCCCATTCTGCACCCACCACTGAACTCCCTCTGCCTCTAGGCTGGTGCCCCGATACTGTGCTGAGCTCTGTCTCTCATTCCCAGCCATGCAGCCCCAAGGGCATGGATGGGGGTGCCCTGCTCCAACAGCCCTCCTACCCCACAGCCACAAGGCTGGGGGGGGGCTCTGGCTGCTGGGAGGGAGCGGACAGGGGAGGAAGTAATGGGCCTTTCCTGCTGTGGGGAAAGCTTGGCGATTTCCAACCCAAACACCCCGGCGCTCAGCGGCCGCATACTTTCCCAGCGTCCCTCCCCTCCTTTATTCCTGAGGACATTGGCAATCAAACCCACGTTGGCCTCATCTCCTGCTCCTGCAGTGAGGTCATCGAGCTGTGTTTGTGACATCCCAGCATTTCCATGGCAGCGCACTGTGATGTCATAAGCCCAGGTTGCGACCTCACGGCAGGAGGAGAATGATCTTATTAAAACAACATGGTCCCCATCCATGACTGCTGACAGCTGGGGGACTCCAGTGCGGGGTAGCAGCCAGCAGACAGGCCTGTGGCAGCCAGGGGGATGACGAGGATGGTGCCCTCCCTGGGGTTATGTCACCAGTGGGAGATGGTGATGGCACAGGGCATGATCCAGTGCTCAAAGTGGAGGGTGACCCCTAGGGCTGAGCTCCCAACTGATGCAAACACACAAGCCACATAGTGCTGAAGTGACAGTGATTTTGGGGACAGCCATGCTAGAACTTACTCCTCAGTGTCCTCCAGGTCTGGCCACAGTGCTGCCCACCTCTGGGACCAAGCGTCTGGGGCCTTATCGGGGTGCAGAGCCCTTTCATGTCAGGCTGGCGGGCAGCAAGCAGAGCTGATGAGGACCTGTCCCCAGATGACAGCAGCCCGGTGCTGACAGCGACTGCAGGGCCCATTCTTAAATTAGACAAGTCCCCCTCCCCCTGGCCAGCACTCCTGGCCCTGCCCCATGGCTGGACATAGCCTGGGACATCACGGCCCACAGCACTTTGTGTGGCCAGCATGACCTGCACACACATGTGCACACACCTGTGAGCACACACCATGCCCTCAGGGAGGGCTGTTCATCCCTTGGGCACTGACAGGCGGGAGATGGATGGATGGACGGATGGATGGATGGATGGATGGATGGATGGATGGATGGATGGATGGATGGATGGACGGGTCTGTAGCTCTCTGGATGGACAGGTAAAGGGGGTGGATGGGAAGAGTAATGTATGCATTTGTTGATGGATGGATGGATGAGTGTACAGACAGCTTAGGGGATGGATAGAGAAATGGCTGTGAGACAGCTACTTGCAAGTGTGGATGGATGGATGGATGGATGGATGGATGGATGGATGGATGGATGGACGGATGGATGGACAGGAGAAGGGATGGTCCTAGCAGCATTCTTTAGTGAGCCCGTGTAACTCTGGACTTTGTTGCTCTTCCAAACAACCTAAGTTTCGCACAGCATCTGTCCTGGGAGAGAAGGGAACATCCACGTCCCAAGGGGGGAAAATTTGCCGTTCTCGCTGCACAACAATTCAAGGGCCCGACCTTGTGCTGCTGCAG